GGGTTTAATGTCCCTTAGAGGGGGGGGAGCCCCCAATTTGGGTAAGGGTGTCCCTCCCCCCATGGAGGTAAGTCCTTGGTTTTGGGGTAGGGTCTCCTTTGTGGTGGGAGGGGGGATGGGCATCACAAAGGAGGGGTTTTAATGTCCCTTAGAGGGGGGGGAGCCCCCAATTCGGGTAAGGGTGCCCCCCCCATGGAGGTAAGTCCAAGGGGGGCAGGGGAGCCTTGTTTAGAAGGGCACTTTGGGGTTTTTAGCAGTATTTTCTGGTCCCTCCATGAGCATCACAAAGGAGGGGTTTTAATGTCCCTTAGAGGGGGGGGAGCCCCCAATTCGGGTAAGGGTGCCCCCCCCATGGAGGTAAGTCCAAGGGGGGCAGGGGAGCCTTGTTTAGAAGGGCACTTTGGGGTTTTTAGCAGTATTTTCTGGTCCCTCCCCAGCTCGGGTGTTTCTGAGTCTCGTTTCAGCTTCAGACAAAACTCTTTATTGCTCCTGGTTGCAGAGAAGTGCAGGGAACAGGGTGATCAGACGTTTTCCTCCTTCTCACATGTCTTGGAATGAAGAGGGAGCTGCTTGGGAAGGTGCTGGAGTCACACAGTCCTGATGGAGCAGGAGTGGGAGAGAAGAGCCATAAATTATCCTGGAATCATGGAATGGTTTGGGTTGGAAGGGACCTGAATGATCATCGAGTTACACCTGCTTGGGCAGGGACACCTCCCACCAGCCCAGGTTCTTGCTGTGAAATCCTTCACCTCCTCTACATCTTGCTAGGAAAATGGATCTGAAAGGATTAGGGGAGGGCTGGGGGGGTGGAGAAGGGAATGACTTCTGCCTCGTTTCCTACAGGAGCCAAATGAAAACGGGTGAAGTGCAGGAATTTAGAGACCCTGGCCCAGGTTGCCCAGGGAAGCTGTGGCTGCCCCATCCCTGGCAGTGTTGAAGGGCAGGTTGGATGGGGCTTGGAGCAGCCTGGGCTGGTGGGAGGTGTCCCTGCCCATGTAGGGGGTTGGATCTAGATGATCTTTGAGGTGCTTTCCAACCCAAACCAGTCTATGATTCTAAGATGCTTTTGCAGAACCAAAGTGCCCAGAGCTCCCTGCTCACACCCAGCTGAGCCACGTCAGCACTTCCCTCCAATGATCCTGCAGCAGGTCCCTTTGGGGACAAGGCTTGGGGAAGGATGTGGAGGGACCTTTGTGACCAGAGGCCTGGGGGGAGCAGCCCCACACCTGGGTGTGCAGAGCTCCCCCAGCAGCCAGCTCAGCAGCTCCTGCTTCCAAACACCCTGCAAACCTTCTGAGCCTTCCAGGGAGGTGAAACTGCAGGAGATGGGCCAGGCCAGAAAGTCAAGAGGAGACACAACAACCCAGGGGCAGGATCTAACAACCTCATCTCCCAGTCCCCTCAAATCCACAGGGATGTTTTATTTTCCTTGTCTCCAAATAGCTTTGATAAACCCCCCTCCAAAAACAAGCCCCCACCTCTTTTTGGCATGGTGAGTCCCTCACACACAACAACTCCTTGATCTTGGCATGGGAATGTGTCTGTCAGGCTTGGGGGATGAGGAGGAGGGGAGCAGTGACCCCCCCCCCTGCACCCACCTCCTCTCAGACCCAAACCAAGAAGGTGGGTGAAGCAGCAGCTCCAACCTCACAAAGAAAATCTTTGTCTCCAGGGAGGAGACAAAATCAAGTCCCTTTTTTAAACCTGCAATGAAAAGAGATTCCAGAAAACAACTTTTTTTGTTAGAAAGAAGGAAAGCTAAAGGGAATCAGGCTGATTAATCCCCAGCATCAAAGCTTTCCCTCCTCCCCCACCCCCCCAGAACAGGTTAGACAAACATCTGTCAGGAGCAGTTTGGGGCATGCTGCTCCTGCCTGGGAGCAGAGGTCAGGCTGAGTGACCTCCCCAGATCCCTCAAAGCCCTCGTGGCTTTGATTCTTCTCTTTTTCCAGCTGACTGACAATTCCCAGTTGGCTGATTTGCTGGGATTGAGGCACCTCTGTGAACCACAACTCTGCTCATTTCCCCCACCCTGGGTCACCCCCACCCCCTGCTCCTGAAGCTTTTTCCATCCAGAGGTTGTAAAAATACAGCAACTGCCCCTGGATTCTTGCCTTGGGTGACTCTTCCAGTTAGAAATTCCATCTTTTTTGGCCAGAAGACCCTGGGGTGGTGCCTGAAGGATGCAGGTTGTCTGTGGTAAGTGCTTTTTTCCCCCCCCTTCTTGCCACCATTTTAGGGACTGAGCAGGAACAATTTGGTGAAACCCCCTTCACGTTGAAGAAATTAATCCCTCATTTATTGGTGGGGTGTTTTTTTTTTTTGTTTTTAACATGTAGAAAGTGCCTGAGAACAGGTTTTTTTCTTTAGATTCATGTGTCTAATTGTCTCTTTTTGGGAACAGGAGCTCAGGCTGGGGGGAGGTGGAACAGGCTGTGGATGTGCTGACACAGCACAAAGCAGAGCCACAAACACCCTCACAGTTGGATGAATCCAAACTGAGCTGCCCCAGATGGGCTCCCTTAACCTTCTACCTGTTCCCAACGAGCTCCTATCACCATCACTCCCCTCACCTGGAGGATTTTAAGATGATTTACTCTTTAAAAAAACAAACCAGGTCAGAAAATCAACTGGGAGATCCCCCCTGGGTCAGGCAGCACCTCCCCTGCTGGGTTTCATGATGAAATTTTCCCAAAGGATGAACTTCCAGCAATGACGGGAGGGAAGAAATTCTGTGTCTTTCTCTAAAAAAAATGCTTGAATATTTACATATTGAAAAGATTTAATGAATGAAATACTTGCAAATGAACTGCTGGAGGTGATGTGAGCACCAGTGAATGTTGTGGGGTTGGTTGTTTTTTTTCCCTCCTCATCTTGTGGGTGGATTTGATGGAACCAAAACGTGTTGCCAAAATATATTGAGGCAAAAAAAATGTGTTTCAGAAATGGATCCGTTTCATCTGGGGGTTTTTTGTTCTTTTTGAGAGGGCTTTGTTTTCTTAGGTCCAAGCTCTTGGTTTGGACTCCTGGAGGAGGGGAAGAGCTTCAGCCCTGTCTCTGTGCTGGGGCCCTGGGGTTTGATGAGGCTCTGTTGACATTTGCAAAACAAAACAAGACCCAAACGATCTATTTTATTTTTTTTCCCCCATTGGTGAGAATTTCCAAATGAGAGAAGCTCCTTTTGTTCTTCTCCTCCCTTCTCAAAGGGGGGAAATTTCCTTCTGGACTTCAAACCCTCTCATTTCACCATCCCTGGGGATTCCTGCCCTGAAAATTGCCTTCAAGAATGAAACATTTTGTGGCCCCTGCCACCAGATTTCCTGTCTTCCCACCTCACCTCTGGTTTTTCTTGGCTTTCAGGAGCCAGGCGAGGAAATCTTTGCCTTCCTGGGTGCTCAGGTCCAATCTTTGCCCGGTCTCAGCCGGTCCTTGGGGCTCAGCTTCTCTCTTGTGAGGCTCCATCGCGTTGCTGGGAAGGCGAAATGGGAAGAAATCAGGCTGGGATGCCACAAGAGGGTGCCAAAATGCTGCTTTTCCACCCAAAAAACCTCAGCTCCCTCCCGGTCCATCTGCCAACGGAGAAGAAGGCGGGAGGACAGGGATGGTTCTGCTGTGCCCACTGCCCAGAAACGCTTGGAAGGCTTAGAAAAAGAAAAGGGAAATAGAAAAGCAGCTCCCTGGAGAGTCCAAGAAGCAGATCCTGGGCTCTGCCTTCTTCTGGAGCCTCCTCATGGAATCCTAGGATGCCGGGTTGGAAGGGACCTCGAGCATCATCTGGTCCGACCTCTCTAGGTGCTCCTCTGGTTGCCATGAGGTGGCTCAGTGCCCTGAGGTTTAAAACTGTCCAGGGGAGGGGAACCCACCGCTTCCCTTGGGACACCATTCCCTGGGTTGGAGGAGCTTGGGAAGTCCCTGCACTTACCTGCTTTTCTTCTCCCGCCTGGCCAGTAACCACTCCACGAAGTCCTTCTTCAGCACGTTGTCCATCGTGCGGCTGTAGTCGCTGGCCAGGGTGGCTTCAGAGTAGCGTCTTTGGACTGGTCGGGCACTGGGAGCCCTGAGAGTGATGCTGGGGGGGAAGAGCAGAGACACAAAGGGAGCCCAGAGGGCAGCGGGACCCGCCGCGCTCTGCGGGGCTGGCACAGACATCTGGGGTCACTTCTGCTCCTCCTGTGGTGCAGGAGATGAGCTCGGGGTGTTCACTGAGAGCCTGGACTCTTGGGGGGTTTCCCTGCCTGGGCTGGAGCTGCTTGCTGGGGTGTTGGGGCTGCTCAGCTGGGACAGGAACCTTCCAGGTCCTGCCGAGGCTCAGGGGGGAGCCAAGGGCTGCCCAGGGGGTCTGCACTGACCTGCCAGGCTGGGCATAGTGGGTGGCTCCCTAAAGTCATAATAGAATCATCTCATGGGATGGTTTGGGTTGGAAGGGACCTCAAAGATCATCCAGCCCCACCCCCTGCATGGGCAGGGACACCTCCCACCAGCCCAGGCTGCTCCAAGCCCCATCCAACCTGCCCTTCAACACTGCCAGGGATGGGGCAGCCACAGCTTCCCTGGGCAACCTGGGCCAGGCTCTCACCACCCTCACACCAAAGAATTTCCTCCTCATGTCTCAACTAAACTCTCCCTCTTCCACTTTTGACAAAGGATTTCAAGGCTCATCCTTTTTCCCCAGTACTGCTATCTGGGACTTCAGCAGCTTCTCCTGCTCAATCCTTATGGATTCTTTTGGATCTTCCCGGGTGGTAGTTTGGAAATTTTGTAGCAGGAGTCAGGGCAAGAGAGGATCCCAAGCCTTGATTATGTACCAGCTTTATGTAACTGGGCCTATTTTTAGAAGCTTCCAAACACTGGATGCCCCCCAGCCTTGTTCAGGTGAGATGGTTACATCTTGTTCCTACTTCTCAGCCAACCTTCTGCTCCTCCTGGTTGACTTCCAGCTTGTTTCTCCTAACCCAGAGCCATGAATTTTCTAGGGAAAACTTGGGAGTTCCTGGCTGTGGCTCAAGGGCTCAGGGCTTCAGTTTGATCTCTACCTTATCTCCTGCTCATCTCTATGCTTGGCTGTCTCTGTTATCTGAGATCTACCTCAGGACTCATGTTCTCACCTACTTACCAAGGTGCCATTTACCTCCAGCAGAGGAGCTGGAAAAGGCTCAAAATACACCTGGAGCTTCCCAAAACATTTCCCCTGAGACCCAAAACATTTACTCTGAGGTGTGAGCTTCCCAAAACACTCACCCCGAGACGTTCTCTTCCATCAAAACAAAGCCCAGAGAAGCCAGGAGCAGAGAGAGAACTTTGAGAGACAACATTTGCTTGGCTGGTTCCTCTGTTCCAAAGCTGAGATGTCCAGCCCCTGTGGGACGTGGGACACACACAAGTGACAGGACAGTGAATCCAGAGGGATGGGGGGGTGGGGTGGGCACGTGCCTGTGCTTGTCAATGTGTTTCTTCAGCCCTTGTACCCTACAGAGCCCCTCTCTGCCCTTCCCACCTTCTCAATGCCAACGCTCCTTCCCACCCTGGTGTCTTTTCATGCTCCTTCCTTATACTTTTCTTGTAACCATCAAATCCATTGTGGGTGTCACATTCCTGGAGGAAAGGGCTTTGTCTCCTCCCTGTTTTACAAGCTGACCCTGTGGGTACCTCATTGTGCTCCAAGGGTCACTCCAAGCTGGGAGTGGGACCACGCGGTGGATCGGGCAGTTCGGTCTCAAGGACCTTCTGCTTCTCCCACCCTAGTCCTGTTGGATTTAGGAGCCTGATCTAATTTCTGGCAGGTTTTCCAGCAGGATGGATAATGCTGGACTGGAGGCAGAGTCAGGGAATACCAGTGATGACAAACACCCCATGGCCAGTGACAGGATCAGATTCCAAGATTGATGAGTTTCAGGTTGTTCCTCATCCTCACGTCCACGTTCAGCTCAGCAGCCCGTGGACATCTGAGCTCTCTGAATTACTCCAAACTCTTGACAAAAATGGTCTTGCTCATGGCTCACAGATAGATCATCTTGTCCCTCACCTCACTCTTTGTTTTAGCTATTTCTGGAGACTCTTTTGCCACAGGGAGCTGCTCCTCATGGGAATAACTGAGGGACCAAAAGGAAAAGGTCAGGACTCGGGTGTCCCATCCTTCAAAGATTTACTCACACACCGAGAGAACTTCACTCCTCTGAGTAGTTATTTGGACTCTTACAACAGCCCAATTATTGTTTAGGAGAGGGAGAAGCTGCAAGTTTGGGTGTTCTTTGGAATGGAGGCTTTTAAAGAAATGATTTCTGGGAAATGGTGACATCTCTGACAAATGTTTTCAGCCCTCCCTGTTAAGGGAGAAAAATAGTAAATAGGTTTCAACATCTCAGCTACATCCAGCTCTGAGAAATGCTGGTAAAAGCCAAGGTGTGATGCTCTGGATACTGGCAAAGTCCCTGAAATACTTAAAGCCAAAGCAATAAAAGACAAATCATTACGGAGCACTTGAAGAGCAGAAGTAAATTCCACTGTACAAAAAGCTGAGGGATATTTGAAATGAGAACAGGGGGGGAAAAGGGTCATGATTTCCCCCTTCTTTACTTGTCATTTTGTGGATTGGTGATAAAATGGTGGGTACAAGGATGGGACTGAAAATAGCCAAGTTGTGCCAGGATATTGTTCTGCTGAGAGGAATTCTTGCTGACCCTAGGAGAGGAAATGGAACCTTCATCTGAAGCCAGGGCAGTGACTGCTCTGCAGGGTTTCCCCAAACAGGGAGGAAAAGCAGTTCACATTTTCAGCCACTCTTGGAAAAACCATTTTTTGGAGTTGGAACAAGCTCCTCTGCCTGTGTGACCCGGGGCTGGTGCCACCCAGCTCACCCAGCCCTGCCTGGATTTGCTCTCCTCCCTCTTTGCATCCTCATTTTTTGACTCCTTCACAAAATGAGGAGCAACTGGTGGCTGATCTTTGCATCCCAAAGGTCTCCCTGTGCTGGTACCTGCTGTGGAGCAGCACAATCCCTGTTTTATTCACAGCTGGGAGACCCCAAAAAGCAGCTGAGCACCAATTTCTCCTTGTCTCCCCGTGCAGCACGTGGTGGAGGGTGCAAATCCCAGCCTGATGTTTCCCATGTGCTGAATCCTCCCCTGGGGTAACTGTGTTTCCCTTTACCACACGTTGCTGAGGGCTTTTCTGCCAAAGCTTTCAAGAAAACAACCATTCTGGGACCATTTGGGGCAAAAACTCAGGCGAAGGTCCAGGCTGTTCCTGCCTCTGCCCAACACTCCTCCCTCCCACAGTCTTAGGGGGTGGAAAAAAAAGGAGGAAGAAAAGATTCAAAAGACAGACTGACATAGAGTTTCTTACCTTCCTGCTTCTCTGAAGCTGCCTGGAGGATTTCAACCAGTTTTGGTGCTCAGAGGAGACCCTGCAGGGCTTTTATATACACTGACTGTGTGGGACCAAACCCACTTCCAGAAGGTAAACAGGAAATCAAGCACCTCAGCAAAGCAATTCAAACCCACTTAGAGCTGCTTCATTAGCTCCATTGACCTACAGAGCAGGAAAATAACCTTTTAAGATATGTTTACATTCATGGCAATTAAACCTGAGTGTATCAAGAGATCAAGAATGAGCATGGGTTGGTGGGTGTGATACATATGGCATCAGTCTGAGCCTTAAGTCCAGGTAGCACCTCTTTCCATGGTAAAAATGTCCTCAATTTCCAGCTTTTCCAAGTTCCACCTTGGATCCCACGTGCTCCTTCTCTTTCTTACAGGAGGAACCACTTTGCTAAAATCAGGAGCTCCCATCCTGGTTATTTTTGTCCCCGTCAAGTCTGGGCATCCCAGCTGTGGTTTGCAACCCCTGGGGGGAACCTGGTGCTGAAAACAGCACCTGACCCCCCAAAATGTGTTCTCCAGGAGGAGAAAACTTGGGGTGGAGAGTGGCAGACAGGAAACTAGTGAGAGCCAGGGGGGGCAGCATTGGTTGATGTGCTGGAGGGTGGTGGCCCAGCAGGGAGAGCAGCTGGAGCTGAGCACCCATTGGGGCTGTTCCTGCTCCCAGGGAGTGATGGAGCTTTTCCCTGTGGCTTCACAGCTGCTGGGGACACGGGTCAGTGAGGCCACCACCCCACCCTGCCCTTGCACAGCTGGCTGCAGCAGAGCAGATGTTCTGCAGATGTTCAACGGTGCCATCAGGATCCAAAGAGGCAAATCCTCTTCCTAAGGGCTGGGTGAGATGTTCCCCTTGGTGTCTGCCCTGCCCTGCTTCCCCTGGAAGGGTTGGTGCCATTGGATGCAGAAATCCTCTGCAAGGGCAGCTCTGGGACCTCCATCCCACCCAGTTTCAACCCGCTGGGGGACTGGAGGTGGAGCAGAGCCTGGCTGTGCTGCTGGCAGGGCAGGGGCCTGGGCACACCGGGTTCCCCAGCAGCCTGAGCTCCTTGCAGGAGGTTCCCCAGCCTGGCTGCTGGGGTCTGCCTGGGCTTTGGGTCTGGGGGAGCTGAGCAGAGCTGCTGGGAGCAGTGACACCTGGCTGGAGCAGGGACCTGTAGCTGGGAGGCTGTCTGGCTGTGTGTGTGCCTATATGCCTGTGTCTCTGTGTGTGTGCCTGTGTGCCTGTGTGACTGTGTGACTGTGTCTGTCTGGGTGACTCTGTGACTGTGTCTGTCTGGCTGTGTGTGTGCCTGTGTCTGTGTGTGCCTGTGTGACTGTGCCTGTGTGACTGTGTGTGTTACTGTGACTGTGTCTGTGTGTGTGTGTGTGTGACTGTGTCTTTGTGTCTGTCTGTGTGACTGTGTCTGTGTGACTGTCTGTGTTACTGTGTCTGTGTGTGTGTGACTGTGTGTGTGACTGTCTCTGTGTGACTGTGTGTGTCTGTGACTGTCTGTGTCTTTGTGTGCGACTGTGTCTGTGTGTGTCTGTGTGACTTTGAGCGTGTGTGTCTGTGTGACTGTGTCTGTGTGTCCTCCCAGGTTTGTGCTGGCTCAGCTACACCAGGGATTTGTGTGGGCAAGAAGCAGGATTTCTGGTTGGGAGGGGGGAGTGAGGAGCAGCCTGAGAGGAGCTGCGGGAATGATGGACTTGGTGGGTTTGGTGTGGGAGGGGGTTTCTCTCCCAGTGCTCCCAGTGCCTCGTGTCCCAGTAACCCCAAAATCCAGCCTGGTGAGGAACATGTCTCCATGGCAAGTTTCTCCATTTGGCAGTTCCCTTCTAAAAAAGAGGCTTTTCCTGCTATTCTGACAAGTGCTGCTGGGACACACTGTCCCACCCGGGCTCTTTAGCCTCTATTCCTGCCCCAAACAACCCACATCCACCTTCCCCAGCACTGCCCAAGCCTCTTCTGACCCTTCCCAGCACAACCAACCTCTCCAGCAACAACTTTTCCCTCTCCACTGCCTTAAGAAGGACATTGTCAGGGTAGAGAAAGAGTTCAGAGCCATTAGGGAGTAATTAAACCCTGCCCATCCCATGGCTTGGTCCTCCAGCACAGCACACCATGCTCCCCAAAAGCTCTTCACCCATGCAGAAACTTGGTGCCTGCTGTAATAAATGAGGCACTATAATAGTTACAAGGAACCAATTTACACTCCTAGCACAGTTGCTAATCAATAAAATGGAATAATTTACCCCAGTGTCTTTATTCTGTGTATTCTGGGCACTTTGCTCCCAGCCAACTCCTGGGTCTTGTTTCTCCAAAGTGGAACCTGTTTGTTTTCCTCTCATTAAGTGGGATATAAAGTTAATAGAGTGAAAGAAACATCCAGCAACATTTGATGTTGACCCAGGGCTCCCAGGCAGGGCTGGTTCAGGGCACCTGCAGGTGGTGCAGGTTGGGCAGCAGAGGTGCTTGAAAATGACTTACAAACTTTCCAAGAAACTAAACAAGAAAAATAGTTCAAAAACAATAAATCCCAAACCAGGTGTGCAGGAGGGATTCCCAAAGGCAGGAGAGGCCCTGGCTGCGTTTCCTTCTGTCTGTGAATGAAAATGAGAAATGAAACATCCACTGCTCAGTGCCTGAGGTGCTGCAGCTCTGCACGGGTGGGGCTGCCCTAGGGAAGGACCTTGTCCCCAAATCTGCTTTTCCAGGGTAAGAGAGGGGCTACTGACCAATGCAAACCTTGCTCTTCTTTCTCCTGAGCCCATCAAAGCAGTGACAGCCCCCAGGGAGCCTTGTCTGGGTCTGCTCTCTGATCCCACAGTCCTTTCACAACCTCCAGGGCAGGGGATGCTTGAGGTTTCACCCTCGTGTGCCATTTGTACCCGTGGAAATGAAACAGGGGAGCTGGGGCTGCCCTGCCTCATCCTGCCCTGCTCTCCCTGCCTCCAGGAGCTGGTGTTTCAGGAGCTGGGGGATGTGTTGGGAAGGTCCCAG